TTCCTGGAGAGGTGGGCAGGTAGGCTGGCAGGAGGAGAGAGAAAGGGTGATATAGAGGGGTCTGGGGAGCTGGTCCTGCTCTCCAGGCTTCCACCCTGTCACTAGCAAGTCCCAGGGCACCTGGGAGTGTTGGGGACCAGAGACTGGGGTGTAACCAAAGAAAGGAGGACTTGAGGAGAGAAGGGAGGGCAGCTTAGAGAAATAGAGGGAGGGTCAGTAGAGACAGGAAACCAGAAAGTTAAAAACAAATCTTATACTTGCAAGCATTCATCTGGGCATGGGAGGGTGTGTTGACTATATGCTTATTCTGTGTGCTATCATTACTTAAAGGGCATTTCCAGAACACCTGCCTCTTTAGGACACACCTTCAGTTATCTGTAATTTGTTTATTCCTTTCTTCTTTATTCACTCATTAATGCAGGAATGAACCAATATTGACTGAATATCCATCTGCCAGAACTAACTAATCTGTTGGAAGAAATAGGTCAATGGTAGCTAATAATTTTTATTTGGGGGTGGATTCCACTTTGAAAATAGTCAAATGGCATTCACAGCCAAGTCTGATGCTGTCACTTTGGGCTGGGCCCCCTAAGCTCACTGCCATATGTCCCTTATCCACTATACCAAGTGGGCAAGCAAGGTGGAGAATGTTCCTCTGTGTTTTACCTGCTATAATTCAACACTAGCCCTGCAGCCCCTGTGCTATGGGATCTGCAGTTTTGCCCAGTTCAGCATGGGCAGTCCTGGAGGACGGGGGCCCTGGCAGTGCTTGTATGAGTGGGGAAGCTCCGCTATGTCCTGTGTTTCTCTCTACCAGTGCTTAGTGTGAGGGATGGGGTGTAATCCTGCTCAGAAGAGGAAAATGGTCAGATCTTTAGAAAAATTCAGAGAGAGGGGGGAGCTATTAAATGAAATGTCTCAATAAACATAACTTTTTCATATTAGCATCACAGAGGAAGGGGGATAGACGGAAGAGAAGAGAAAAGAGACAAGCTGTGACTACGCAGGTGTGAGGGAAGGACTGGAAGGACTTTGAAAGTGCTGCTGGGAACCGGTGCAGTTGCTCTGGGGAGAGGGTGGAGACGGCCCAGTTCCCCAGGGGCTGCCACGGCAAGGCTACAGCTGCCCAACAGGCCAGAGCCAGCTGGCAGACATCAATGCGGCATGGAAAATATTAAGGGGAAATGGAGGCATTTTTGAAATGACATGATACCTGGGATTTTTGTCACAATGTGAGTTGATGTATGCTAGGTAGTGAGCTCATGGGGATTCCTTATGCAAGTGTCTCTACCCTTGATTATTATACTTGAAATAAAAAGTTTCTAATAATAAGCAAGAGGTCTTTTACAAATAGGGGAGCTATGAAGGAGCCACACACGGCAGATAGGATAAGAGCAAAGGAGTATAAGCCATAGAATAGAAGCAGAAATTAACAGGAATTTGTCTTGGGTTCTCTTAACTAACACTGCAAGTCAGGAGTTCCTAACCAGGGAGTGACGGATGAGTTGCAGGGATCCCTGCGCTCCATAATTGTGCAAAGTGATCTAAGAGTTTCCAGCGAGTTTTCAAGGAATCTGTTTCCCCCAGAGGTTAATAAATTGTATTCTCTCATAAGTGTGCTATGCGTGTGTTACTCACCTGATGGCGTGGTTTTTAAATGGAGATTTCTTTTCTAGAACCGGCATGATCACATCTGGCTCCCGTGTTTTTAGCTGCCCTCTTAGTCAGCCACACCCAGAAGAGGGCAACATTGCCTGGCTTGCTTCACAGCCCATCTCTCTGGTGGCAGCTCCCAGGGTGCTACAGCCCCGAGCCACAATACCTTCAGTGGAGACAGGGGAGGGCTATGTCCCAGAGACAAGGGTGCATAGTGGGGAGGCGGACACAAACAAGAGAGGTCTGGGGAGGTCACTTGGGGGTCTCCAGGAGGCTTCCTGGGGTCTGAAAGAGTAAGAGGGGGTCCTGGGGGTTGAGGCTGTCCCCTTCTGGCAGATTCACCAGCTTTTAGCTGCAAATATGCAACAGAAATCACTGTGTTGACTAGCCTGAGGCTCAAAACCTAAAGACACCTCCCCACTCCCCAGAGAATTTCTTAGAAAGCACCTTCCATTCTTCTCAGGGCAGAATAACACCCAGTCTGACATCCAGCCCTTTGACATTAATTCTTCCAAGTCCAGCTCCCTAGAATGGACAGAGCAAGCTGTCACTAAGACTTGCAGCCCGGTTGAGCAGCGAAGTGGGGTTAGTTTAGGGGTCTCGTCAGTTCCTCTCTCTTGGAACCATGTCCACATTTAGGTCAAGGCTTGGAGGCCTTCCCTTATTTGCTGACACATGAGCATCTCTCCAGCCTAACGCGTCGTAGGCTAGTGTCAGAAGCACAGAGTTGGCCCCGGCCCTGAGAAGAGAGGTGGGAGGACGGGACAGAGCATGGGGCCAGGCACTGCTCTGCAGCTGGGGTGCTGAGTTCTGCTCTTCAGAGGAGAAAGGTAGGGAAGGAAGCCCTTTCCTTGTCTCCCACAGCAGGGCACAGACTGACTGGCAGTCACGGATCCTTGTCTCCGGGGGCTTGCCTTCCCTCCTCCAGGCATCTGAAGCCTGGCAGCCCTCCTGTCTCAGCAGTGGAGAGAGGTGGAGGCCCTGGGAAAGAGTCTGCCGGTTCCTAGACCAGACTGCAGGGCTGAGGGCAGGGGAAGGGAGGAGGTGGGAGAGCCAAGAGTGAGAGGCAGGTCTGTCCCAGGCTGGGACTGGGCGCAGGCATGCGGCTGGCGTGCACCTGCTGCTGCACTCCTCTCCAGAGGCCAGCCGCACCTCTCCAAGGCCTGCGTGGTGGCCTTCCTCCTTTGGAACACTCTTCCCTCCCACCCTGGCATTCAGGGTCTGGACACCTCTCTCCAGCTCATATCTAGTGTAGGACAGGCAGCATGCCAGGAAAACCTCCCAGGGAGGGCCTGCTCTCTTCTTTGTACACCCCTGCCCCCAACAGGCCCCTGACTGAGGGCACTGCCCAGAATCCTGTTTTCTCCTTGCCTGCAAACTGCCAAAGCAGCAGGAGGTGCAGGGCCAAGAGCAAGGGGCTTGGTGGCAAATTTGGAGTTGCATCCTCATCCTTCTTCCTTTATTGTGGCCTCTTCCCTCCACTGCCTCCTTCCCCAAAGTGTCACATGGCTTCCCCCCAACCCAACTCTCGCTCAGCCTTCAGGTCGCTCTGCTTGGGCACTGCGGCCACCCCTGCCAGAGACCCAGAAGAATGGATTTGCAGCGGGGACTTTCAGACACAAACCGGTCCAGAGACATTCTTCCTAGAGTGGAGCAGGCCTCCTTTTACCGTTCCCATCACCTCGCAGAAAGAGCCTCACATGCTGAGGCTCAGAATGAGGACCTGTGTAGCGGACAGATTCCATAAAGGGGACCAAAGCTACTTCCAGCAGGCAAGCCTTGGGGCTGTGAGGCACAGCTGGCCAGAGTCTGAGAGGCACAGACCAGTGAAGAAACCTTTTTTTTTTAAACTGTGCTTTATTTAGGGCTAAGCTGGAGAAAGCGTCATCCAATAGTTACAGAAGGTTACAAGGAGTTTTAGGGAGTTGGTGTGAAAAGAGCAGTTGTACTGAACTGCAGCTGTTTT